AAATAAATAAATAAATAAATAAATAAATAAATAAATAAATAAATAAATAAATAAAAGTAATACTCGAACAAAAACCAAACCATACCACTCTTCTGGGTATGTACACCTTTGTTTTCTTTTCATGAGTTCCACCATCAGATACTCACCTCAAGACTATATCCCTTTATACCAAATATTGGCCTCAAGTCTATATCTCCATACATGTATACCAAATGGTGACAGTATATCCCTATACACCTCTATCAAACACTCACCTCGAGTCTGTATCCCTCTATACAGGAGAGCACATCCCTCACGCGCAACCAGTCGGTGACATTGAGGGCAATGTCAATGTCGTCATCCCAAGGGATCAGGCCCCGATGTCTGTGCACCCCAATCAGCGACCCCCCGCGGATGAAGAAAGCAATGCCGGTACTTTTGAAAGCGGACGCCATCACGAGGTACATTTGAAAAAGCATCTCTTTATCCCTCCGCTCCATGGCTGGTAGAAAGACGGAATGTGCCGAAGACTTCAGCGGTCTAGCTGGTGACGATTCGTCTCTGAAGTTGCTGATGGATAAAGAGGCTTGGTCTGCCGGGTGTATGAAGGGTGGGTGGGGGTTGGAGAAGTCGCAGCTCGCCTGGAGAGTGACGTCATCCGGTGAAGGGAAGTTGGAGATCATGATGATGTCAAAGGTGCTGACGTCCCGCCAGGCGTTCGGCCAGACGACATACAGGACCAGGTTCCGGAGTGGCGGGAAAAAGAGGAAAAGAGCCAGGCAGCAGATGGCTATGGTGAGGTACTTTGGCCAAGCTGGCCTCATGGTGGTTGAGGTTCGTCTGCCACCCAACGGTCACCTAGATCTGTGGCAGACGAAATGAGAGTGTACTCGATTTATTTACACAGTTCATGGATTTTTTTCCGCTTGCGAATCAAAGCTAGCACAAACAATAGCCCTAACCATTACGTATTCCTGGAGGCACATGTCTATGGAACAAAGCCACGGACTCGATAAAAGGGGACTTGGGCTATCACGGCTCTCAAGGGATGGCTTGCATATAACGAGAATATTGGAAATGAGTTTTATTGAATAGTAAATAGGCTGCTAGGAGAAAGGGGATGTAAAAATAACAGAGAGAAAGGGGGGTGGGGGAGGGGGTGGAACCCAGCAGGGGACGGGTGGTTCGAAGAACAAAG